AGGTGTTGAGGGCTGAGAAGGAGCAGCAGGGGGGTCCAGGACTCATGGGGACAGCCACTCTAGATCAGGTGGGCAGAGTTTCAAGGGAGAGAGGGCCCTAAGGCAAGTATGGGGTTAACTAAGTTCCTGGAGCCAAATCAGGCAGGCCTGTCTGTATAAATAAAGAATTACTGGGCCAGGCGCGGTGGCTCACGCCTGTAATCCTAGCACTCTGTGAGGCCGAGGCGGGCGGATTGCTCGAAGTCAGGAGTTCGAAACCAGCCTGAGCAAGAGCAAGACCCCATCTCTACTATAAATACAAAGAAATTAATTGGCCAACTAATATATATAGAAAAAATTAGCTGGGCATGGTGGCGCATGCCTGTAGTCCCAGCTACTCGGGAGGCTGAGACAGAAGGATCACTTGAGCCCAGGAGTTTGAGGTTGCTGTGAGCTAGGCTGATGCCACGGCACTCACTCTAGCCTGGACAACAAAGAGAGACTCTGTCTCAAAAAAAAAAAAGCTAAATAAAAAAAAAAAAAGAATCATTGGGACCAGGCAGATGGCTCATGCCTGTAATCCTAGGGCTCTGGGAGGCTGAGGCAGGAGGAGGATCACTTGAGCTCAGAAGTTCAAGACCAGACTTAGCAAACGTGAGACCCTGTCTGTATTAAAAATAGAAAAAAAATCAGCGGGGCATGGTGTTAGGTAAGATTTTCAAGGTCCATCCGTGCTGTAGCATGTATTGGCGTTTGCTTCCTCTTCATGGCCCAATAATACTCCATCGTATGGACAGCCACATTCTACCGACCCATTCATCAGTTGTCGGAGACGCAGGCTGTGCCCACCTTTCAGCTGTTGGGAATGACTCTGCTACAAACATTGGTGGAGTTTTTGTGTGAAGTTATGTTTCCATTTCTCTTGCGTACACTTAGGAGAGAAACTGCCGGGTGGATGTGGCTATAATGTGGCAATGCTATGTTTCACTGCTTCAGGAACTGCCAGACTGTCTTCCACAGTGGCTGCGCCATCGTCCCTTCCCACCAGCAGTGTGCAGGGGCACGTTTTTCCACGTCCTCGATGACGCTTGTCATTATACGACTTTGTGATCACAGCCATTCACTGTGGTTTTGCTTCGTATTTCCTTGTGTCCATTCATCTTTTACCCGGCACCTGTGTCCAGTGTCCAGGTGGCCTTTGTCCCCAGAGCAGTCCTGCCTCTTTTGCCCTGGCCACCTCCTTTTCCATCCACCTTCCTCCTGGGCCAGGGGTGGGATCTGCACTGAGCCCTCAAGTGCCCAGTGAGCCCTTGACCTCATGGGTCCCACTCACCCTGGCAGGTCACAGCCAAAGAAGTGCAAACAGTCAGTGACTGTACTAAGCAATGATCAACCTCACTCAGATTACAGAATGAGAATGGGACCGAGAGATGGCCCTATCTAGATGGCCCTATCTACATCGGAAGGTCCAGAATGACCAAGTTGATGGGGGGGAGGGGGGGAGGGGGTGGGAAATGAGTGGAGCGTCCTGAGCCACCCTGGGTGGGGCAGGTGGGAGTGGGCAGGCAGGGGTCAGCCTCTTGCAACAGACAAAGCAAGTGCACTGTGGGGGCCTCTGCACCCCCTCTTGCCTCACACTCTCTCCCAGGACAAAGTAATGTCACACCAGGGCAGGAGTTTGCTTAGAAAAGTAGGGGAGAGGAAGCCTGCAGGGGAGGGTTCAAGCCCATTCTCCCCCTCCCCTGCCACATGGCTCAGGCAATTAACTTCCCCCTTCCTAGCCATACTTTTCCCATTTCTAAGACGGGGATTTTCTGCCTCACGGGAATGTCAACCTAAGTAAATGACTGAAGCAAAAATCTCAATCAATGGAGGTTTATTAAGCTGAAATTTTGAGGACGCGCCCAGGAAAAACAGAACTGAAGGGGAAGTTGGAACCTTCAGCATTTTAAAGGCATACAGAGAGAAGGAACAAGGGGGTGGGGGCAGCTGATGAGGTTAAAGTGGTTACATTCTTGTGAGTGGGGCCCAGGAAATCGACATTCTACATAAAATAAAGAGAATGTTAGAAGGGAGAAGGAAGTGAAGGAAGCATCAATTATGTAGATATCCCCGGGTGGGTGGAAGGATGTCTGATTGTGTCTTGTCAGTTCTGTTACTTGTAAAGATAAACTTGTGTGATTCATCCTTAGCGTGGAATCAGATAGGCTTGTGTTAGGTGCTAGACACAGGTACAATTTGCATGTCCCTGCTTATGGGAGATTAGCAAGGAATTTCCTTCATGAATGATTTGTGGAGCCAGTTCTTCCTTGGTGCCTGAAGCTTTTACTTTCTCTTTTGCATAAGGAGTTGAGGGGGCGGCCCTGAGACTTTGATTTTCTTTTTATAGGGGTGTCACCCAGACTGAAAGTGGCTGTCAGGTAGTTGGTGCCAAATGGGGTGGAATTGAGGAAACTTTATCAGAAAAGCTTCACCATCCACTTCGGAATTCCAGGCTGGCACTGCAGCTAGCAGGAGCTTGGAGGTGGAGGTTCTGCCCCTCTCCCACGCCCCCAGGTCCATGGTCTGTCACTCTACCCCCAACCTTCTCCCCCCACTCAAAGCCCCCACTACCAGCCGCCTCACTGTACAGACTCCCCCGAGTTGAGGGGTGGCACCCCCAAGGCAGCAGCTCTGTCCTAGGGACTCACTTTTTTTTTTTGAGACAGAGTCTCGCTTTGTGGCCCCGGCTAGAGTGAGTGCCGTGGTGTCAGCCTAGCTCACAGCAACTTCAAACTCCTGGGCTCAAGCAATCCTCCTGCCTCAGCCTCCCGAGTAGCTAGGACTACAGGCATGCGCCACCATGCCTGGCTAATTTTTTCTATATATATTAGTTAGCCAATTAATTTCTTTGTATTTATAGTAGAGACGGGGTCTCGCTCTTGCTCAGGCTGGTTTCGAACTCCTGACCTTGAGCAATCCGCCCGCCTCGGCCTCCCAGAGTGCTAGGATTACAGGCATGAGCCACGGAGCTGGGCTGGGACTCACTTTTCCTCTATTGTTTCCCTCTGAGGTTTGCATAATGCCAGTTTGCAAAGTCCCGAAGGGACAGAACTCTGTTACCGAAATTTCAACACCTGTCCCTGAGGCCACATCAGAAGAATGAGGACAAGTGGTTTGAGGAGAAGGAAAGGGAGGTTTATTAATTTGCCGGCAAATGAGGAAAAAGGCAGACTCGAGTCTTACAGTACCAATTTCCCATCGATAAGCAGAAATAAGCTCTTAAAGGAGGGTTTTCAGCTTCAGGGTATTGTTGTTTAACTGCAGTTGATGGTTCTGATCCATCCCATCTCTGGGAAAGACAACCTCGTGACTTCAGTCCAGAAAGTTCCTTTGAGCCATCTTGTGTTGTACAAAGAACAAAGGACACTGCCTGCTCCTCCTGACCACTGGCCTGGGGCAGGGATGCAGGTTTTAATTCTCAAAAAGAGTGGTGGTTTTAAAGACACAGCTCATAATACATTTTGCCCCTTTCAGGCGGGTCCCTCTGTTACATATTTACTTCTGCCCAAGCATGTGTGAGCTTTGATCACTCTGATCTTGACCCCCTGCTTCCTCTCAGGGATGGCAGCCTTTGCTTCTGAGGGGGCTGGAGTCCCCTGGAACCTGCCCAGGGCTCTCAGCACCTCCATAAGTGGAGGCTCAGCTCGCTGCTCAGTGTCCCGGTTTCACTGGCTGGTATTTGACATTTGCCTCTCAGATGTCCCCAGAAAGCCCTTCTGTCCTCTGCCCCTCTCCACTTCCCACCCTCCCTGGGGTCAGATGCCCTGCCTCCAAGTCCCATGCTCACCTTTGGAGGGATGTCAGGGCCATCCCTCCACATGGGGAGCAGCAGGAGGAATAGAGCAGGGAGAGAGAGGTTTGGGGGGACAGCGTGGCCTAGAAGGGCAGGTGTGGGGCGGCCCAAACCATAGCAGGTGGGCAGTCAGCCCTGGCCCTGGGCCCTGGCCTGCCTCCGGCTGCCCTGGGGGCACCCATCCCCCAGGGAGCTCTGTGGCTGGTTGGTGCATGTTGCAGAGACCACCGGCCCTGGGGAAGGCAGTTTGCAGGCTTCTACATGCTAATCACTGCCTCATGCCGCCTGTGCATTAAGTACCTCCCTTAGGATCTGTGTGTGTGTGTGTGTGTGTTCATTTCTTTATGAATGAATGAATGACAGAGTCTAACTCTGTTCCCTGGGCTAGAGTGTGGTGGCATCAGCCTAGCTCACAGCAACCTCAAACTCCTGGGGTCAAGCAATCCTCCTGCCTCAGCCTCCCCAGTAGGTGGGACTATAGGTGTGAGCCACCATGCCCGACTAATTTTTCCATTCTTAGTGGAGACAGGGTCTCCACTGGGAGACCCTGTGTTGCTGGGGCTGGCCTTCAACTCCTGGCCTCAAGCGATCCTCCCAGCTCAGACTCCCAAAGTGCTGGGATTACAGGTGTGAGCCACCGCCCCTGGCCAGAAATTTATTGCTAAAGGAGCAGGAGGCGGCTGGCTTTCTCCAATCAGTTCATGTGTCCATGGGTGAATATCAATTCTTGCCAGAGTTAGAGCTCAGCATCAGCCCTGCTATGCTGTGTCTATAACGATGCAAAAGCTGATAGTCCATGTTCACATGAATAAGTTATTAGGTGAGGAAGGAGTTTCCCCTAGAGTTGTGGTCCCGGTCTCCAGCCCCCGGGCCGCGGCCAGTACAGTCTGTGTCCTGCTATGAACCGGGTGGGGCATCACTGCCTGAGCCCCGCCTCCCTCCATCCATGGAAAAATTGTGTTCCATGAAACCGGTCCCTGGTGCCATATAGTTTGGGGACCACTGCCCTAGAGCGTTCCAGGTGTGAGGCCTGTCACCTTTTTTCTTTAAGGCGCCCATTCCCCAGCGCGGGTGATTCTGGTTACCATGTCCCCATTGCTCCAACGGGGACATGGAGGCACGGAGGGTTGGGGCTTGCAGGGGCCTCCCCTGCAAAAGATCCCTGACCCCTGTCTCTCCCCCGCAGTGTACCACTGGGTGGAGATGCGGGCCAAGATGCGTATCATGGGCTTAAACGCCCAGGCCATCAAGCCGCTGAACGAGGACGCGGCCGCCGAGCTGGGCGCGGAGCTGCTGGGCGAAGCCATCATCTTTGTCACAGCTGGCAGCTGCCTGATCCTGGAGTACTGGCGCCTCCAGTTGCAGCATCGCCGCAAGGAAAAGTGGCAGCACGCTACCTGGGGCGCGCTGCGGGACGAGGTAGGACACCTGGCGCAGGCGCTCGAGGCGCTGCAGGCGCAGGTGCAGGCGACGCCCTCGCAGAGCACCCTGGAGGAGCTGCGCGCGCAGTTGCAGGAGGTGCGCGCCCAGCTCTGCATCCGGAACCCGCCGCCCGGGTCAGACAAATAGGAGGTCGCGGGGCTACTCTTGGACGTGACTGCTGTCTGGGCTGCGAAGTCTCTGACATGGCCTACACCCCGCATGGTCCCTTTCTGAACGGCCCAGCTGACACTACCAGGTCCTTTTGGGAACAGAAGGGATCGTGGGCTGGAGCTGATCCAACCGGGCATTTGGTCACCTCCTACTAACCTCCAGTGGTACTTTCCACTAGGACTCCCTCCCACTGTTGGAATGTTCCACCGGGGACCCCTCCCTCCCCCTCATCCCCACCAGCACATTGGCTTATCACTTAAGAAAGACTGCTGTCTTTTATGGGACCCCCCCACCTACCCACCACCAGGTGGGCCAGCAGAACTCCTCCTGGCAAGCTCCGAACACCCCCTACCTCTTCCTCATTGGTACAGACCATCGAACACCCCCTACCTCTTCCTCATTGGTTCAGACCATCGTGAAGAAAAGGCAAAGTTCCAATGAACTTCCCAGCTCCGCCACCCTTCAGCTACCTCACTCTGGGGTTACAGGGGGCTGGGTGGATCTTGGGCTAAATTAGCTTCACTGAGCCACCCTGTGGCTCCTGCCTTAAACCTACCATTGGTGCCTTTAACTGGGGCCATCTCTGCCTTAAGTGCCTGTAACCGGGGTCATCATCTTCCAACAGACCCTCTCTCATTCCTTTGGTCTATGGCACAACCCACTGGCCGGGCTGTGCCAGGTCTTCCTGGGCAGTGCCTCCCAGACCTGCCATCCCTAGTTCATGCAGGACATGGCCTTTTGGAAAGATTGGTCCTGACTAGGGCTAATTCATCCTGGCTTTCCGTCTCAGTCCCTGTCCTAAGTCCTAGACCTACTGCTGTCCTTTCCCACTGTCCTCTGTTGTAGCCTCTCATAGAGACCCACCATGTCACCTTGCTACATGAGTCACTGTCACATCCCCCTCTTTCCATCCAAATCTGCTCTTCAGAGTACTCAGGGTCTCCTTTCCTGCCTTTGCATGGGCCTCTGGCCCCCTCCACTCGCCTTCATGCAAAGGCCTCCTCCAGTGGGACCACCTGTCCCTCAGCCTGAGGTCCCCATCCTAATGGAGTGTCCCACCCACCCAACCACTGAAGGGTCCGTGTATGAGCTCTGTGACTTCTGAATGCCATTTTTTTAGACTGTAACTGTTTTGTAATTAAAGGAGCTCTGGGTTAAAGAAGTCATCTTAGGAATGTTTCTGTGAACCCTGATGTACATCTGCAAAATGGCTAAAGTGTCTTCAAAATTAGGAAAGGAGCTGGGAGAGTTCTGGTGGAGCAGCAGGAGTCATCCCCTGAGCCCTTTTCCAAATGGAGAAACTGAGGCCCCGGGTGAGCAAATGGACTTGCCCCAGGCCACACAGTCAGAGAGGGGATGCTCTGGCCTCCTCTGGGGGTGATGAAGGGCAGGGCAGGAAGGGGTGAGGACGAAGCCTGGTGAGGGGCATGGGGAGGGAGGCGGAGAGGGGGCAAAGATCACCCTGGCTGCAGAGGCCTGAAGGAATTGGGGTGGGTGGGAAGGAGGAAGACAGCAGGAATCAGGGTCATGGGAGGCAGCGATTCTCAGTGTTCTTTGTGGAAGGGGCACCAGGGGTGGGAAGCGCCTCCCTCCTCAGCAAAACAGCCTTTCAAATCACTCTAGAGATCTTAGCGTTTATAAAAACCAGCAGATTTATTCTGCAGGGGCCCATTTTCAAGAAGCTCAAGGTGAAGGTGAGAGCGGAGAAGTATCCTCCCCCTTTCCTCTCTCCCTCATCGTTTTTTTTTTTCTCCATGGGGTAAAAATGGCCTGGACCCCCAAACTACCCAAATAAAAAAACCAAAAAACTGAGGTTCCAAAAAGTTACAGCATCTTAATTCCTTATAGAAAAGGGGAAGGAGCCAGGGGGGAGGTAAGTCCCTGGGGTGGGAGGAGGTTCGCCCAGCCTGGTGGGACATCCCCCCCTTAAATAGCTGCCCCAAATGGGGCAAGCCTGGGGCTATAGCATTTAAAAACTCCCACACCCCATTTTATCAAAACCAAAGAGAAAAAAAAATTTCCCTTTCCCCCCGAAACCCAAATATATATATATATTTTCTTTAAAAAACAAAAATTCAAAGGCATTAAGCTTTAAAGTGAATCTAGAACAAGGGAATGTGAAATTCCCTCCTTCCTTCCCCCTCACTGCGGGGTTAACTGGTACATCCCCAGCAGAGGAACCAGCCCCAAGGGGATGGTAGAGGGGAAGGACCAAAGAGAAGAAAGGGTGGGGGCCTCCCCAGCCAATCAGCAGCCAGTATGGGTGTGGGCGGGGTGCCAGGGAAGCCACACCCCCTTGGACTTTTCCAAGTGGGATGGGGAATGGGGGAGATGCATTCCTGTGCAGTCTTCAGCCAATTCCAAGTCAAGTTGAGGCAGGGAAAGCAGGGTGAGAGGTGGGGTGTGCGGAAGGGAGAAATGGGTCTTCTGGGTCCCTGTGGTCAGGGAGAACCCCGCTTCCTCAGCTCCTGGACAAAGGCTGGAAGGAAACAAGGGGCAGAGGTCAGGGCCAAAGTCTCTTTCCTCTTCCCTTCCAAAATAGGGCTCTTTCCCAGGGACATGATGCCTCCAAAATAAATAATGTTTAAGAACCAAACCAAACCACCTCACCTTCAATTATTTCCTCTTTCACTTTCTGCAATTCCTTCCTCACCTCTTCCAGAAGCTCCTGAAAGTAATGGGGTATAACCAATTGAGAGGGGTACCTGGACTTGTAGAAACAAATCCCCCCTTTCTTATTGGCTGAAAGGCTAGAGGAAGCAGGTCTGAGACCCACTCCTACCCCCACACCATGACATCACTGCCAAGGTCACAGAATGACTGGATGATTCCAGGGGAGAATTCTGGATCCCTGCAGCCATAAGAAAAGTGCTGGAGAACATCCAGTACCAAGGCTGGCAGACCCATTCTGGTCTCTTGCCAAGTCCAGCTGGTGATGGATGGCTGGGGTCAAGTGCTGAATGGATTCAAGGTACTCATGGGGAATGAGTGTGACAGTAGATTAGTAAGGTCTGTCCCAGGCACCGGAAAAGAAGGTGTGGTTTCATCTGGGTAATCCCTAACCTGACCCAATCTCTTCATTTCTCAGACTGGAAAATGGAGGTTTCTGAGACCTTTTCTAGAATCACTCTGCACGCCAGTGGCAGGGTCTGGATCCAGATCTCCTCTCTTCTGTGGCCCCTTTCTAGCTCCCACCCTCCTCCCCACCCTCCTCCCCAGCCTACCTGTTTCACCCTCTCCAGGTCTGACTCATCACTGGAGCTAGGTGTACAGGGGTGGGCCTCGGAAGTGAGCGCCGAAGACGACTTCATCCTGGGAGAGTTGGTGTGGTTTGGGACAGAAATGAGGTTAGAGGACCTCCCTCCCCTGCCTCCCATTTCAGAGGTCACAGCATTCCTCCCTATAAATTGGGCAAGTCCAACTATTTTGGGGGCTGGGGCCCCAGTATCGAAGGCCCACCTCGGCAAGGTTGTGCTGTTCTTCTCCCAGGGTCTCCGCACAGATTCTGGGGGACAGGTAACAAATCAGAAAGATCAGGGCAAAAGACTGCCCCCATTCAATCTTTCTCCCCCAGCCTCATCAGCCCACAGTCAAAGACCCATCTCAGGAGAATACAATCCCCAGCACTATTTGCACAGACTCTCCCATGAGGGCGCTGTATATGTGAGCACAAGGCATTCTGGGATTTGTAGTTTCTGTGTAGTTTCTTGATTAGGTACTCACCACTGTGGGCTGGGACTCTGGCCTCTGGCTCCTCCTGCTGGTGGGAAATAAAATTGCCATGAACCAGCCCCTGCCACACCTCTGCTGGTTTCCTCTTCCAGGTTCAAAGGCAGCCCTGCCCTATCGCCCCCACCCTCCCCAATATCCCTATCCTCACGGTGTGCAGGCCAAGAAGAGCCCCTGACTTACATTGGCAGAGTCATCCTTGGGGGGTTTCTCCCCAACCTGCGTGGCTTTCCTTCTGCAGGAGGGAAAGGCAAAAACAGGCTCCAGTCCTCCCCCAGCCACCCAGTCATCCCCCTTCCCAGAGTTCTAGAAACATGGATTCTAGGGGGTCGAGTTCTGGAACTCGGGAAGGGCGAGCAAACTTTATTTTAGAAGCTCAAGAGATTCATGTTCGCCGGGCGCGGTGGCTCACGCCTGTAATCCTAGCACTTTGGGAGGCTGAGGCGGGCGGATTGCTCAAGGTCAGGAGTTCAAAACCAGCCTGAGCGAGACCCCGTCTCTACCAAAAATAGAAATAATAAATTAATTGACCAACTAAAAATATATATACAAAAAATTAGCCGGGCATGGTGGCGCATGCCTGTAGTCCCAGCTACTCGGGAGGCTGAGGCAGGAGGATCGCTGAGCCCCGGAGATTGAGGTTGCTGTGAGCCAGGCTGACGCCACGGCACTCACTCTAGCCTGGGCAACAAAGTGAGACTCTGTCTCAAAAAAAAAAAAAAAAGAGATTCATGTTCTAGAATTAGGGTGGGGGGTTCTATGGTTCTTACATTTGGAATCATAAATTCTAAAGGTGGAGGGGCTTTGGGTCCAAACGCCAGGATTCTAGGAATCTGTGTTTCCAGAATTCTGGGTTTTAGAGCATTCTACAGGCTACCTAGGTGGTTGCAAACCTCAGCCATCTCAGGAGGTGACAATCCCTAGCATTCTAGCCCTAATCTGGCTGTGAAAGGGGGAACTTTCACCAAAAGAAATAAACAAAACAGGAATCAGAGCCCTCTCCCCATCCGGCTCTACTGAACTGGACTCTGCAGGTGATTGGGGGTGCAGGCTCCGGCTCACCTGCGGGCCAGCATGGCGTTCATCTCTTCCATGAGCCCCCCGCCTGTGCTGCGGCTGCTCTCAGCTTTGGGGGCCACGGGCCCCCCCAAGGCCTCCTCCTGCTGCAGATATTAAAAAGGGAAGGGGCTTTAGGGGGCAGGTCTCCTGGCTTCCCACTCCTGACATCCCCAGGCAACCCCAGCCTCATCCCACTATTGCATCAGGGCCCCAGTCACCCCACACCCTGCCGCTCCTGACCCCTCCCTCACCTTGCTGACTTTCCTGAGTTTGGCTCCAGCAATGGCTGCGGCCAGGCCTGGGGCCCCGGCCCCCCCACCACTGGGGCCCTGTGCTGCCGGGAGAGGGGGTGCAGGGGGTGGGCCTCCCCCTGCTCCATGCCCTGCAGCAGACACCCCGGAGGGGGGCAGACCCGGAGGTGGGGGGGGACCCGGAGGAGGAGGAGGTCCTGGTGGTGGGGGTGGGCCCCCAGCTGGGGGAGCAGGTGGGCCTCCTGGAACAAATAGAAAACAGGGGTTGCTGAGAGAGAGTAGCCTCTTTCTTCATTTTCCAGATGGCCACCCCTTCCCCCAGGAAGTCCCAAGGCCCCTCCTGCAGTCACCTGCATTGGAGACCCTGCGCTCCAGTTCCGGCTGGCCAGACTGCTGCCTGTGGGGCAGGGGGAGGGGAGGCGATAGAGCTGTCATCAACCAGGCCCAGAGGATGGCCAGTGAAGGGCTCTGTGACCTCCCAGCCTCCCTCAGAGGTCTCCCATGAGGTCAGCCCAAGCCTTCCTTCCCCAGGGGCCCCGAGTAAGGGGTGGGGACCAGGGACAGGGAGATAATATTGGAGCTTTCTAGTTATTAAACTGCCAAGGACACGTGAACTGCACGATGTCCAAGATTCTTTTAACAACCAGATTCCGAACTCCAGGAATCTGAGAGACCAGGACTGGTGGCTGTTAGGTTCTACAACTGAGTGTCAGGAGTTTCTTGAACTCTGGGAGGTGGGGGTTTCTGAAAGCTGTCAACTAATAATCCCTTGGGAGCTGGATCAT